TTTTATATTTGCTTTTAGACACACATTTAAAAAATTATTACACAGAGAAATTGACTTTCCCTTTTGTTGTACAGACTTAGGAACATAAAACACCTACAGATATCAGGAAAGCACCCCCCACCATCAGGATACAGGCAGTTACGTCGCGTCAGAAAACTCCCTCATTCTCTCCTATCATGTTGTTTTCCCATCCCAGTCTCTGGCAACCGGGGATTTGTTTTCCATCACTATAGCTATTACCATTTTTAGAATATCCCACACATGTAATCACGCAATATACAATCTTTTGAGACCGACTTCTTTAAATCTGTATAATGCTTTTGCGATTCACCAAAACTGGTATGTATATAATGGTTCACTCATTCTTTTTGCCAAGTAGTTTCACTGTAGGTTCATTGCATGAACATTATCTGTTTCCTTGTTCACCTATTGACAGACATCTGGATTGTTTTCATTTTGGGGGCACCTATGAGTAGAGCAACTAAAAAAATTCATGTACAGGTTTTTGTGTGAACATATGTTTTTCTTTCATTAGAATAATGCCTCAGAGTGGGTCATATAATTTTATAAGAAACTGTAAACAGTTTTCTAGAGTGGCTGTGTCATCTTACATTGGCAAAACTCTTGCTCTAGTTGCTCTGTATCCTTCTCAGAACTTAGACGGTCAGTATTTTTTTTTTATTTTAGACACTCTAATAGGCATGTAGCACTACCAGAGTGGTTTTAATTTACATTTCCCCAAAGGCTAATGATGCTGAATATTTTTATGTGTATATTTGCATCCTTTTATCTTCCATGGTAAAGAATTCTATTATAGTCCTCTGCCATTTTAGAATAAATTTATATTTATAGGAAAGTTACAAAAATAGTGCTGAGAATTCTTGCATACCTCATACACAATTTCTCTTATTTTTAATACCTTACATTATGGTACATTCATCCTAACTAATAAGCTAATATTTACACATCATAATGAACTAAAGTTCATGTTTATTAGATATCCTTAATTTTTACTTAATGTCCTGTTTCTGTTCCAGGATCTCATCCAGGGTACCCATTATATTTACTAGTCATGTCTCCTGGCGTTCCCCTAGACTGATAGTTTCTCAGACTTTTCTTGTTGTTGGGAAATGTACCGTCTGGTTTTAGGAACTGTAGCCCCACCGACAGGCGAGAGGGCCCCAAGGCTGGAGCTGAGCAAAGAGGCCTTGGGAAAACAGGCCACTGAGGAGACAAAACCTGTCCTCCTGGCAGCCCCTGCCTCCCTCACATCACCCTGCTTGGCCCTGGAGGATGGCTGGTTAGTCAATGACGGGTAAGACCGCTCAATGGCAGGGGCAACCTAAGTCAGGCACAGCCACATGGGCATCAGGGAAGAACTTGGGGGATGTGGAGAAGAGGCAAAAAGACCCTCAACCCTTGGCTTTGAGATGGCCAGTGTCATCATTTTATCTGAAAGAAGTCTCCTTATTTCTTGGCAGCTCTGATCCCCGGCCTGGCTCAGGTTTCAAACAGTACTGGAGACAGCCCTAAAGTGGATAGGGCGGTTCCTGGGGGAAATCAGGCCTAGCAGTAAATTCTTTGAAGCATGCTTTTGTTTTTCCCTCAAAAGCTATGATAACAAGCTCATGCTGGGAAGGAAATTTACATTATTCACAGACCCTGACCCTAAACTTTTTGGCACTATTACGTTTACACTCTCATGTTGACTCATCTCCTCTCAGACCCATGTAAATCGGTGTGTTCCTGCCATTTTTTTCTTCAACATCTATTCCCTGTAAATATTAACATGCTGATGTAATGAGATCACCTGTACATTCCTACTACCTAGCCCCACTGATAACCTTTTCAGTAAAATCCTTTGGACACAGAGGCCCATGGCCTTCTCCACTAGAGGGAAGTGCCACCCTTCTCCTGGCAGACAGAGAAGTATCTGGAACGATTATTTTATTTCCCCCATCCGTGATGACCCTTGGATGGGCTCTGCGGGACCAGAGTCCACGCTCTCTCCATCAGTTGGTGCCCAAAACGGGACCTGAAGAGTCCGCCTCACTTTGTTTTTGAAAACCTTGTCAGTTTGAGGAGTACTGCTCAGATATTTTGTACATTGTTCTTCAATTTGCATTTGTCTGATGTTTTTCTCAAGGTTAGACAGAAGTTACAGGTTTTGATGGCTTTGCTTATTTTTAATAGGATTGTTTGTTTTCTTACTGTTGAGTTTTGAGAGTTCTTTATATATTATGGACATAAGTCTTTGGCAGATATGTCATTTGCAAATGTTTTTCCCTGCCTGTAGCTTGTCTTTTCATTCCCTTAACAGTGATATTAATAAAATAAAAGTTTTAAAATTTGATGCAATCTAACTTACATTTTTTAATTTTATGGATCATATTTTCATGGTCATTTCTAAGAACTTCTTATACAACCTCAGGTTGTGAAGATTTTCTCCAAATGTTTTCTTTTAAAATATTTATAGTTTTAGATGGGTTGTTCTGTACATGTCAATTAGACCCAGTTAGCTGATGATGTTTTTCTTTTGGTTTAGCTTATTTTTGGTCCAATCAGACTCTTGAATTTACAGGTTTATGTCTTTTGCCAAATTTCGGAAGTTTGCAGCTATTATTTCTTGAAATGGTTGTTCTTATTGTGCTCTTTCTCCTATCCTTCTGGGACTCTGTTGATATGTATATTAGAACTTTGGTCATCCCACAGAGGGTCATCCTGAAGTTTTGTTCATGTTTTCTCTCTATTGGTCAGACTGGATAATTTCTGACACTCTATCTTCAGATTCACTGATTACTTCCCCCTTTGTCTCCTCTCCATTCTTCTATTGGTTTCATCCAGTAAGATATTAATTATGGTTATTATATACTTTGGTTTTAAATTTTCCATTTGTTTTTCTTTATATCTTCCATTACTTTCATGATTATTTATACTTTAATATTTGTTTCAAGAATGTTCACTTTTGTTCATTTAAGCACTTTTATAATAGCTGTTTTGAAGTCTTTGGCATATAATCTCAATATCCATTTCATCTTATTGTTGGCTTCTATTTATATTTTTCCATGCAAGTTCAGATTTACATGGTTCTTGGTTTACCAAGTAATTTTGGCAATGCTGTTGAAAGAACATGTTTAGAGAGACATGTAGTACTCAAATATTCTATAAATATTTGTATCACAGGAGCAAAAACAGCCAAAGTCTGTCTTTTTTGATGATTTACTAAAAATTCCTTTTTGAAGTTTGTAGTTGAACAATTGAAATTGAAACATTATATTATTTATTATGCATCTTAATTACAAAATATGTTTCTTGAATGGTAGTAATAAAAAAGACTGAATTCTCAAGACTAGCTACCTGAGACTTCAATTTTATTTTTGCTTTATATCATATTTCTCATACATAGAATAATGTGAAATCAGACAATTATCATACTTGTTTTCATTATCAAGTATAACTATTTTATCTTCTATAGGTATAGTTATATACCTAGATAACATTTTTCTTTAACATGGCAATACATACTTAAGTTAAAGCAAATATGAAATTCTCCCACTTGCAGAGAAGGAGAACAATAATTTCTTCTCCCCACATATGACAACTACCAATTCTTCCCTTGTAAAGGGTGACTGGGAGCAGGAAGAGTGCATAGGGCACCAGTGGCTTCTCTATAGTCTTGCTAACTCACCAGAAACTTCCCCTGCAGCAGCGTAGTTACAAATTGCTACAAAAAAACAGACTAGGCTTTGTGTGACTACAAGGCATCCACGCATTTTGCTGGGATAATAGTGACAATTCTTTAGGGGGAGCAAGGTCCTCTACCTGTCCAATTGAAAACAACAAAATATAGAAACAAGAGTAAAAAAAAGGCAAATAAAAATAAAAAGAGAGAAAAGAAATAAAGAAAAAAGGGGGAGATGGAGGGAGGAAGGGAGAGAAGGGGAGGACAGGAAGAAGGAGAGGAAGGAGGGAGGAAAAGAAGGAAGAATGAGGATGCCTTCCAACTGCCACAAGCATGTCTTTCAGTTGAGACACAAGCATCTTTATTGTGCTCATGACATTTTGGTTTTTATAGTTTGAGATCCAATTCTAGTTCTGCCATCTCCCAGCTCTATGATATCATTCTCTGGTCTGCTTGCTCAACTCTGAGACAACGGTTACACCTACCCTGCAGGAGATGCTCTGAGGTTCAATAATGTGTGTTAAAGGTTAGATCCAAACATAGTGCCTAGCACACAGAGTTGGCATTAAATAAATTATATCTCCTTCTTTTCCTCTTTCCAAGAAACAATTATTTATTCTCAAACAAAAGTTGGCACATTTAAAATTGCTCTAAGGGAGAATTTGTAAATTTCCTGTAGTAATTGACTGCAATGTTATATAATAAAAAAAGTCAAAAATCTAGGTGTATGTGAGTAATGTCTCTTTAATGGGGGGGTTGAAATTGACCAAAGTGCCTCCTCTTTTAGTCATCCTGAGATATCCCAGTAATACTTCTAGGTAAGAGGAGATGAGAACAGCTCAAACAATGAAAAAATACCTAAATAAATCCAAACTACTTGTCATTTTGGGGAATGGATGGCACTGATAAGATTTTAAAATAAAATTGACATATCTTTGGTAAATTAATTATTTTTTTCAAAAGTGCCTACACCATGTATTTTATTTTATTTTTTTCCATTACCATTTATCCCCTTATATATCTCTCCCTCGCCACAATCACCACCTATTTTCCATCTCCGTGAGTCCTTTTCCTTTTTGCTTGATCCTTCTACCCACTAACCCCACCTCCATTATTAAGAGATCTTTAGTATTGTTAAGTATTATTTGAAGTTTTACCACTTAATAAAGATATAAACTACATTTTTTGTTACACCCAGGAAAAAATATAAATTTAATTGAAGGAATTATAATACAGTTAGGAACTTTTGCTTAACAACACAATTTAAATGGTGGACTAAATTTTGTTTTCTTTAAAAAAAAAAGAAGAAAGTACTTACTTCTCAGATTATGAAGCAACATATCTAGTAAAGTCATAAATTTTGAATACTGAATAATAGAAAAGTCCATGCCTCTGGCCCACAAAAATCCAGATACATAATAATCTAGTAGAATGGCTTCTTTTAAACAGGTTTTAAGATTTTCAAAATTCAAAAACATGGCCAATTTCCTGTAACAAAAAGAAAAATTCAGGTATTAAAATCAATGAAATACTGAACATTTCATGTTCAGTTTTGAAAGTGTAAATATTTTTCTTGAATGAAAATTCCATAGTGTCCATAATCTTCAAGTATTCATAGTTATATCTAAATTCTCAGTCCAAAATGACATTCAAAAGAAAGAGGTGGGGGGAGAGAGAGAGAAAGAAATGCTTTTTGGTATTCTTCCTCTAGTTCTTCATTTCATTCTTTATTCTCCTCCTTCTAGTCCTCCTTTCTCTTTTTCCATCTTTGAAGTATAGTAACTACTATAATTTTTTTCTTTTAAATTCAATGTCTTTTTCTATTATGCAATCAAATTTCTTTTCCTTCTGACAATGTTCTGGAACTAGATTGTTAAATATTTGTTCTTTTTAAAAAATAATTCCAATTATGTATATTTACTCATTTTTCTACAGCTATAATTTTCTCTTTAACCTTCAATTTTTCTAATCAATTTCCTTTTAATTTTACATACTTTTCTCATTACTGTCTTCTATGTCCCTCAGTGTTTTCAGAGTGTTAATTCTCCCTTGGGCTGCTTATAAATTTTACTTCTGCAAGACTGTTCCTTTTCTAGTCTGTTTTACACACTTTATCATCTTTTATTTCTCATTATCTCTTCCTTGATGCTTTTGTGTCTGTTTCATGCTCTTGTGTTGATTGCTTCATAAGGTTTTTATAAATTTATGATAAATAGTTGACCTTATTTTTTATCTGCTCAAGGCTGTATTTTTTTGGTGTATTTAATCTGCCTATGAGTTCTTTTTCCTATTCAATTTTTTCCCTTGTAATATCTTTGTATGCATATTCTTGTTAAGTAGTAAGGCTTGGCCATGTTACAAGCTATTTTATGTATGAAATAAGTTGATGTCAATGATTCTAGTTTTATATTTGTTAATTAGTGGAGAAAAAAGAAAAAAAAAGTAGGATAGGTTTCCTTTACTATCACATAAACAATCTATTTCTTGTTTATGGGAAGGATCTGCTCCAAGCCTATACCACCTGGTCCTGCTGTTGCAAACACGAGTTCTTGGAATGGCATTTCAGGGTTGTCTCTTCTGCTGGGAGAGTAAGTATATTTTTACCTCATTCTAGGATCTTCAAATATGTATATCCTCCTAGTCCTCTCTCTTGTACTTTTGCTTGATCTAAATGCTTCTGGCATTCACCCTCCTATTTTGTGATCTGGGCCTTTGGCATGCGCCTTGTTTGAACAAAGATGGAATTAGTATTTCCTCATTGCTCATATGTGATTTCTGAGAGTATGTGACAACTTTACACTGCTATTTTCAAAAAAAAGAAGTCCTTATTAATCAGTTTTAAAATAAATTACATGATCAGAATAATAAACGCAGCAGGACTGAACAAGTCTCAGAATAAATAAAACTGAAATTGTGTTTAACTCTCTTAACATCCACTTCATCTATAGTCAGATTAGGGTAGACCTCGACCCCAAAAGTGAGTTCTGACTCTTCTAAGCCAGTCATGGTTGTCTAGCCCCTTCCCATAATGCTATATGATGCCATTCAGTATATGGCATTCTCTATAATAACTATTGGTCCATGTTGGGTGTTCTCCTAAATTAATTCTAATTAATTCACAACTAAGGATGAAGTACATTTTTTCCTGTAGAACAAAAACACAAAAGGGTAAATAACTAGATATGATTGCTACTGATAGGCATCTTATAACCATAAGATTGTGCCTCATTTCTTAATACTATAGAGGCCTTGCGTTAAAGAACTCTGGAGACAGTCTAACTCTGAATGTCCTGTTACGCGATAGCATACATATATGCGTGTGTGTCTATTTTCTTTATTTTTTGAAGTCAATATAATCAGTTTTTCATGTTGCATGAAACTGAAAGCATCATGAGTGATAATTTCATCAAGCTCACAACTCAGTTGGTGGATACACATATGCACAGGCAAGCACTCTGAAGGAGGAAGGTCATATTAGCAGCCAGGCATCTTCAATTTGCATTGGCTATCAGTCAGTGAGATTTAGTTTTCCATATTTAAGGTATAATATCATTTAGTCTTAAGTGAAAGTCAGTAAGGAAACATCTACAGTAATAAAAACTTCTAGTAGTTTAACAGAATCAATAAATAGGCCAATGGAACAGGTAGAAAGCCCAGACACAGGCCTAATACATATACATAATGGGAATTTGGTATTTGACAGAATGTATTTCAAATCAGTGAGGGAAATATGAACTGTTTGAAAATGGTGCTGGAAACAGGGACTAGCCATATAGAAAATAAAATGCCATCTCATCCAATACACTAAAATAAATCCAGGTGATTTAACTAAAGCAACAATGCAAATTAGCACTTCATTCTGGAATCACATTCTTTTCATTCCCTAAATTTGGTTACTTGTCACTCCACTGAATTCTGCTACCCGTTGTTGCCAAGGAAAAGTCAGAGGCCTGCCTCATTATTTTCCTGTCTAGGTTACTTTCTTTATCTCAGAGATAAAGTAATATATAAAGTTTTATACAGTATTATTAAAATATTAAAATCAAAGTTTATATTTTATGAAGTTAAAATTTTTTCTGATTTACTATGTTGGATGTATATTCAAACACCTTCTGATTCCTTTAATCTCCATTTTATATAAATGTCTTAAATATGTTTTCCACATTACCGGCTTAATTTTCAGCAAGGTAAGTTCTACATTGGTTTTATTCTCTAATGTCTTACCTTAGCTCTAAGAACTTTTTATTTACATATTGTATCATCTTTTCTTTAACCCATTGCTTTACAGAACCAATGCCCTCTTTAACCACCAGCTGTTGTCTGGCACTTTCTTCTGTTTCCAGTAGTTAATCTTCCTTCTAAGCATACTCTTCATCTGCCATCTCCGTGTAATGTATTTAAAAAACTAACTATTTGGCCTGAATAGTTACATTTGTTCATTGCTTTTTATTTTTATTTTTTCAGTGTTTGGTTGCATGTGAATGAAGGAAATTACATGCATAAGAATATTTTGGTGCAATTTCGTTGACATCCTCCTTTGATCTCCCCCAAATCCCCTCCACCCCTTCTCCTAATACCATTTGGATCTTAACCTTCAACTTGAAGTGCAGGGTTAAATATTTACCATTTTTATTTTTTCGTTCAGTCATTCCACCCCAAAAGAAATTATGCAGGGAGGTATTTGGGACAAGTGGTTTGAATGCAGTTTCCATACCCTACTGGAAAATCTGTAAGCTTTTCCTCTGGGGATAAGGAGGGATGGAACAGGGCAAAAGGGAGAGACAGTCGTAGCTGTAGAATGAGAAAATGCAGGGAAAGAGAAAGGTGCTTAATAGTGACTTAGGAAGTTTCGCTACAGTGATAGGTGATGTAACTATCTCACCAAGAATTTCAGTAAAAATACTGTATTATTTTTGCATGCTCTTTAAATTTTTGCACACTCATTTTATTTTTTAAAATATGATGACATGCAGAAATAACCCTTAAGGCAAGAATTGAACAGTTCATGAAAGCCCAGTTATATAAGGGTTATTAAAAGATCTCTTAGTGTTATTTTTTGTGTTTAAATAGTTATTTTTAATTATGTTGCCATCATTTTTTCAAAAAAGATTTGGATAGACCTATAAATAAAATCAAGCTTACATTAAAACATAATTGGTAGTAGTTAGGAGACCATGAGAAATGTACCTAGACATTTAACTTTACCTGAAGTGTCATCCACAGATATCTTTTAATGATACTTTAATGTTTTATTTGGTTGGCTGCTTTCATGGAATATATATTTTTTTTCATTTTAAAAGGTAGAAAAATGTGCTAATTTCCTATAATTAATTTCAATAGGTTTATAGCTTTGTAGAATGCAGGCTTTTGGCATACTTCTGTCACTTAGTGACAGGATACCTAAATTATTTCTGTTATGTTGAAAGGTATTTAATCCCCATTTATAATAACATTATTTTAAATGGAAAGTGAATGACTGATTGCAAATATTTCAGGATTACTGTTACAAAGATCGTATTAAAAACCTCAAGAAAATTACTTTGCAAAGAAATGGCTCCTGATATAACACTGTTATCATTTATCCAAAACTGATGTCCTAAAATTTGAGATTACTTCAGGTGACCTATTAATGAGACAGTTTAAAAGGTCAGCTATATTGAACTGCTTGTTTCTATACCGCTAACTTCTGTATCAACCTCTGTATCATTTCCTTTGTCCTAGACTTCACCTCTTAAAGATTAAAATACTTTTAGAATTTAGATATTTAACAAAAAAGACAGCCATAATTGAAAGAAAAGATTGTCAGAGAAAGTATGATATACAGGAAAACTTAGGACGTGGTAATAAATAAGTCTAAAAAGCATTTGTTTGCAATGCCTTGTGTTTTATATGAACTGCATTTAATATAACATCTTTTACTGATAATATTTAATAAAAATAAATTTAAGCTATATTAAATATCTGTCATTTGCATCACATTGTTTTGCCTAATATTAGATACCTAGTTCATGCATTTCTATGACCAAAAACATGTGGGATTACCTCGTAATGGAAAACAATATTTTACTTCAACCATAAACAATCAGGGATGCTAACACAATGGGTTTTACTAATCAATTCTGTCACTAAAAGTTAGAATTCCCAGTGTGCATTCATGTCTACAAAAATTGTAAACTCACCACGAAATACTTGTTTTAAAATCAATAAAAATTTTTATTGACTAATACTCGTAAAGATGCAGATAGTCAGCAGTATAGCCAAATCACAAATCACCTGCATTTCCTGCAGGATTTGCAGGCATTGGAGGTGAATGGCATCTTGGGAAAGACCTGTCAATGTCATTCACCTGCTCTTAATACGCCTTCCCTTTTCAGATTTCTCTTCCAGCCTGTACATCTGTCATATTTCCTTCTCAGTAGTAAATCACCTCTATTCCATAATATTTGTGAGATTTGCAAATGATAACCACTGACAGAGTCATTTTCTATTTGTCCAGTATAGTCCACAATATCCTGCTAAAATCTGGAGGACTGGCCTGCAGAAATCTTACACTGGGACATTAATGTCCAGATCATCACATTGTCCCACACATTATAGCCAATCAAGATTCCATTATTAGAGCCAGAAGATTTTTAAAATGAGTGATTATTAAAATCCCCATTTTGGAATTTGTATGTGGGATACATCTGACTAAAGTTCTAAGTAAATGTTCTACTATAGAAATCAATGGTCTTAAAAATAGATGTATATATATTACAATTATTGCTTATAAATTCACTTATACTCACATTTTTAAGCAAATGTATGAAATCAGAGGACTCAGTATAGCTTCATAACCAATAAAATCATCGGTGGATGGCTAATATTCAGGATTTCCAAAATAATAAAATGTATCCATTATTCATATTACAGGAAATACAACTTACTCTTTTCATGATAAACAGAAGACCTAAACATTCTTGTGAATATTGACAGTTTAATGAATAAAAGAGAAAAGAAACAGAAAACAGCATATGCTAAAGGCTGCTTTTATCTCGTAAATCCCTCCTCTCAGTTATTATTAACAAGCTGGTTTGAAATGAGCGTCTGCCATAAAGAAGACTGCTGAGCGTTGCAGTTAGCATTTGAGAATTTTTGTGTTCCAGAGTCTGGAGATATTTAGAAAAAACTATAAAATGCATAATAGAGTATCATGGTCATTTATAGATGCAAAACTAGAACTGTTCTATATTTGGTTATAATATTGAAGTGCTTACTTTTGAACTCCATCTATGTCCTCTGCTAGCAGTTCTGTGATTTGGGCAACTGAAAGAAAATCTGGAGACAGAATCTCTTCATGCTCCTGGATTTCAGCATCTCTCTACCAAAAGGAAAAGTGTTATGAGTTATGTCAATCATATATTTTACATATTAATCCCAACGATATCAAAACATGTTCTTACTGTGGCCTAGTTGCTATTAGGAAATTTTTTTAATCTTTACTCAAGGATATGTTTATGGACATTAGAGAGAGAGGAACAGGGAGAGAGAAAAAAAAGAAACATTGATAAAACATTGATGTGAGAGAGAAACATTGATCAGTTGTCTCCCAAACACACCACAACTGGGATCACACCGGCAACCTAGATATATGCCCTGACCTGGGATTGAACCCACAGCCTTCTGGTGTAGGGGACGATGCTCCAACCAACTGAGCTACCAGGCCAAGGCAGGAAAAAAGTTTTTAAGACAACAGTCTCCTAGATAATCCTTTTTGTTCTCTGTTTTTAAGTAAAAGTTGAAGGGCTACTCAATCTATCTTTTGTGCATACTTAAAACTGGGTGATGGTTTTCAATTAATAAATATTTTTAATATTCACATATTCCTTATTGAATTTGGAGCTCAGGAGGAGACACAAGTAAGAAGGACTTGTTAGCCTCAAGAAGCTTAACATCTAACAGGAGGAACAAACCAAGGGTGACTTTAAAACAAGAAAATAAAATGGTGGACAATAAAAAATGTGGCATTCAGTCTAAATGAAGCGATAAGATCATGGATAGGACAAGGAATGCCTACAGACAGAAGGCCCAGGAATGGACCTTGTGAGATTAGCCATGGATAATGCTCCATGTCAATGAATCAGCAATGCCAATGTGAAAAAGAAATGACAGTTGGGTACAAGTTCTGTAAATATGAAGTAATTCATAATGGTGCCTAGGGTACAAGTAGGGGACTAGTTGGACCTAAGTGGGAAATCGCCAATGGGAACCTATTGTGGGAGATCTTAAATTTAATAATTCAGTAAATACTTATTGAGTGATTACAAGATACAAGATACTGCACAAAGAACCATAAATATTTTATACGCTGGCTGGTTAAAGAATGAAAGGCTAGAGAGTTCGTTCTTACTAATAGAGCAGCTACTTCCAGCCTTTTTCATCTCACGGCACACCTGAACTAATTAATAAAATTCTGTGACACACCAAAAAATATATCTTGCCGATCTGACAAAAAATAGGCATATTTTGATTCATTCATACTGGACGGCTATTGTGGTGTGGGTTGCTGTCATTTTTATGTTTGACAATCTAAGGGAAAAGAGGTCAGTGGGCCAGGTTTTGCGTGTTTTAAAAATTCTTATGGCAAATTGATTGAAAATCGTTGTAATAGAGGCAATAGGGCACCCGTGAGGTTTTTGAGCAGTGGAATTGCAAGGTAAAACTGTGCTTCAAGGAAGAGTAATCTGTAGCAGGGTGAAGGAAAGGCAGGAGCAGAGAAAGGGCACAGAGGAGTGACATGAAAAGGTTGTTAAAACAATGCAGGAAGGAGGCATTGGCCGGTAGGAGGCGCCATGCAGTATGCATGAACAGAAAGGGATGAATGCAACATACTATATATGGGGGCTAAAAGAGGGAAGAAGAGAGATTCTAAGTTTCTGAAATAGATGACTAGAAGAAAAAGGGCCTCCAATAGCACATACACCACCTTTGTGCGACCTAGACAAAGGCATCCTCTCCAGGTGCAGGAAGTGCTAAAAGTCTTATGACTGGCACAGCCCTGAGCCCAAGTGCACCTCTTACGAAGACAGTATAGTTTCAGCTCCTGCTCAGCCTTCAGCTGAGTTTTTTCCAGGGGACAATCCGAAAAAGCATACATGGCACTCTCATTATACAAAATAGAAATTGGAGTTCCAGAAGATGATGCTACTTTCAAAAAGGCAAGATAAAGAGTTTGGTTTCAGTGGATGAGTTTAAGATGGAATATGCCTATCAAGGAAGAAATGTTTAGGGGTTAATTAGAAATGCTAGAGTCAGAAAAGTCAAGTTTGAAGATCCTGGCTTAGGAATCACTGCAAGTGTGAGAATGGATGAAACTGCCCAAAGCCAGAACACGAAGAGCTGTGAATGGGATGGAAGAGGAGACAGATGCAGAGTAAGACCAGTAACCCCATAAAAATCAAGGCTTGTGAGGTTTTGGGGAGAGGGTGCCAAATGTTTTCAATCCAAAAAATAGTGATGTATCCTTCCATTTGAGTAGGCTCCACCGATAAATAAGAAAAACAAAGAAATGCTTTGTTATACTTAATGAGACCATATCCTAAATTTCCCTTGTTCTTTTCCCAGAGTAGAAAAATCTCAAAGCTAGCAGTTATTGGTAATGGTAATCAGCTTAATGTTGGTATTTAAATTGTTGTTTTATTTTTACTTTAAAAAATCTAATTTAGAAATGAAATATACTACTTCAATAGCTATATTTTTTCAATCTAGGGTTAGCAAATAACCTAAATGACATCATTCTAGTAGATTAAAATCTCAACAAGACAAAAATACCTCAACACCTAATATATAACAATACCCTGCACCTAATAGGCACTCAGATACTTGGAAATTAAATTAAGTGCTCTCAGTTTTTAGATAGGATAGTATTTTAGTCCATAGTGTTTAAATGTTTGTTTTTTATAAATTTATTAGTAGCGGTAAGGTGTAATTATTCCTGTACTATCAATCCCATTAGATTATAAATTTCCCAGGGACACTCATTCAATCGTTTACTTCTTTTTAGAATTCTGTAAATCCTAGTTATATCCATATAGGTTGTTAACAGGCAGCCTAAGTCCATCTCCATCACATGATGACACTGATAGATGACGCAGCACAATGAAAAGCGGGGCTCAGATATGGAAATCTCATGAGGTCTGACTACTGTTTAATTTTGACACAGCAAGTCATAGAACCTAAATTTGGATTCATGTTAAAAAATAATTTTGATATATTTTAATACACAGAATTTTCCTATCATGATTAATAATGAATAAAAATATACATGAAAGGTACAATATCTAGACACTCAGACCAATTTTATTATATTTTATATGAAAAAGAATACACTAATCTTAACCTTTTGAATAATAATAATTCTGGCTAAAATGCCTGATTAATGCCTTTTTTTTTCCCTTAAATTTCACAGCTTAAGATAATCATCCTGTAGGAAGGTTTGCCTCTGGTTTCTTGTTTTCTTTGTTTTAAATTGAATTCCTTGACCTATTTTAAATTGGAGCTCTTTTTGTTTGCTTGCTTATAAAGTGCTTAAAAATCTTTACTCTTTTAACACATACATTCTAATTTGCACAAATTGAAGATACAATAGAAAATTTATGAATAGGCTAATAAAAATGTGGATATGTAATTGTGGCTTTCTCTGTAAAATTATATCTTTGACTAGGAAAATCTGTAAGCTAAAATGCAGTATAACTCATTTTACTCCACCACCTGGTGGATTTTAGCAGCTTTTCCAGAAGCAATAAAATTGAAAGCCTGAAATTATTTGCCAGATAATCTTTTCTCTGAACTTCTCTAATGTTACCTAAACCTTCCATTGTATATGTCTTCCTTCTAGAATTTAAGGTTTCTGGGGGCATCTTCGTATCCAACACTGGTAGTGTCTTAAAAGATTCTTAATGAATGCTCCTTAAAAGAAAAATGTATTTCACTAAAGATGCCTAAAGAGGGGTTTCACGGTAATAGAGAACATAGAGTGATCTACAATTTCCACATTTTAAAAGACTTTCCTTAAGCCTGAAAATAAGTGAACGAAGAAGCAGCACTCTGTTGAACCATGTTGGAGCCTGAGGCAAAAGGTAAAAAATCGGTAATACCAATGCAGTCTTTATTTAAAACGTTGACCCACTGGAATTTTTTTTGTGCATTAACTTTGATTTAAAAAAAATATTGCATTAAAAATATAGTTTATCTTTACTACTGCCTTCTTTGACACCTCTTAAATTTTGTGCCCAAGGGGAGTGCCTCATTCACCTCACTGTAGTCCTGACCAGGCTAAACAGTCAATTTAAGAAAAAGAAAAAAAGAAGTTGGATGAAGGATAAGTTAAAGCAAGAGCTAGTTCCTTAAAATAATGAATAAAATAGGCAAATCTTTGGCAAATGTGATTAAAATAGAGAAGAAATAAATATATACCGCATAAATGGAAATACACTTAAAATTAACAAGGAAATGTGTGATTTTGTAGGTATATGTAAGTTAACAAATATAACTGGGGAAAAGGAGAAAACAGAATTGACCAAATATGAACTTCACTGAAAGTCTATTTTTTTAAAAAATCGCTGTGCCCAACAGTTTTACAAGTGAAGTCTTACCTAACAAACAAGAATATAAATTCTGTTAAGTGTAATAATTATACTGTAGATAGTTCATTTTTAAGAAGCCAGCATAATCTACACACAAAAAGCTGGACTAGCACAAAAAGAAAATTGTAAACCAAAATCGTGACAAATCCAGATGCAAAAATTCTAATTAAAATACTATCTTAGTGAACGGGTAAACAATGAGATCAAGGAAGAAATAGAAATGTTTCTGTAAACAAATAAAGATGAACACACAACAACCCAAACCCTATTGGACACAGTGAAGGTGTCACAGGTAGGCAGAGGTAACCAGGTTCTTGGTGATTGTGGACAAAAAACTGAACGGAACACATAGAGTTTATAGCAGAAAGCAAGAGAGAGCAGATTTATTAAGCCACACAGAACAGGGGAGTGGGCCAACTCTGAGCAGAGGAAAGAAGAGCAGAGCAGAGCCTAACAGCCTAACAGCCCTGACCTCAGGAGCTAGAGGGCTTTTATTCCTTTAGGGTGGGTCTCCCATGATTTCCTTGATTGGCTACTGGGAAGGGGGTCCCACAATGCTAATTTATTATAATGCTATTATAATGAAGCAGGGGTCAGGTAGCATCTTCTGCACAGGTGCAGTCCTGATTCACTAGGATTCAATGCTTGCCCAGAAAGCAGAAACTACCAGTCTTAGAACAGGGTCTCCACCCTTCATCCATATTTTTTTTTTTTTTGCTGTAGAAATTTTTTAAAATTTATTTTATTTTTTTAATTTATAAATCATGTTTATTCTATTACAGTTGTCTCAATTTTTACCCCTTTATCCCCCTCCACCCATCCCATCCCCATCCCCCACTCCCAGAGTCAATTCCTACTCTGTTATCCATGTCCACGGGTCATTCATACATGTTCTTTGTCTAGTCCCTTCTGCTTCTTTCCACCATTGTCCTCTTTCCCCATCCCCTCTGGTCACTTTCAGTCTGCTCCATGTTTCTGTGCCTTCTTTATCTTAGCCCTGGGCACCTCTGGAGTTTCCTCCTTCCTGACTATCTCCTGCCTCAAAGGTAGTCCTAAGAGAGATTAGAGGTCTACCTAAAAAAGACAGAAAAATTTCAAATAAACAACCTAACTCTACATCTACAAGAACTAGAGGAACAACTACAAACAAAAGCTAGAGTGAGTAGACCAAAATAATAAACATCACAGGAGAATTAAATGATACAGAGACTTAAAGAACAATTCAAAAGATCAATAAATCCAGGAGCTGGTCCTTTGAAAAAATAAACAAAATTGGCAAGCCTTCAACCAGACTCATCAAAAAAAAAGAAAGAGGACCTAAATAAATAAATTAAATAATAACAAAAGAGGCAAAATTACAACTGAACCCCAGATCATAATACAAAACATCATAAGAAATTACTCTGAACAATGATATGCCAAGAAATTTGAAAATGTGGGCAAAATGGACAAATTTCAAGAAACATAAAATCCTCCAAAATTGAGTCAAGAAGAAACTGAAAGCCTGAATAGACTGATAACAATTAGTAAAGTCGAAGCAGTAATCAAAATACTCCCAACACACAAAAAGCCCTAGGCTGGAAGGGCATCACAGGAGAATTTTAACAAACACTTAGGGAAGAGCTAACCCAAATTCTTCTCAAGCTGTTCCAAAAAATTCAAGAATAGGGAAGACTCCCAAACTCTTTTTATGAGACCCATCTTATTCTAATTCCAGATAAAGACACAACAAAGAAAGAAAACGACAGGCCAATATCACTGATGAGCATAGATGCTAAAATCCTCAACAAAATATTGGCAAACCACATCCAGCAATACATTAAAAAGATCATACACCATGATCAAGTGGGACTTATCCCAGGGATGCAAGGATGGTACAATATATGCAAATCAGTAAATGTAATACATCACGTAAACAACACGAAAAACAAAAAACACATAATCATATCAATAGATGCTGAAAAAGCATTTGATAAAGTACAGCACCCATTTCTGATAAAAACACTTGGCAAAGTGGGAATAGAGGGGGCATACTTCAACATAATACAGGCCATATACAAGAAACCTACAGCTAACATCACACTCAACAGGCAAAAACTAAAAGCTTTCCCCCTAAGATCAAGCACAAGACAAGGGTGTCCGCCTTCACCACTTCTATTCAACATATAGTATTGGAAGGTTTAGCAACAGTGATCAGACAAGAAAAAGAAATAAAAGGCATCCAAATTGGAAAGAAGGAAGTAAAGCTGTTGCTGTTTGCAGACGGCATGATAGCGTACATAGCAAACCCTCTAGCCTCCACCAAAAAACTATTCAACCTAATAAATGATTTTGACAAAACAGCAGGATACAAAGTCAATATTCAGAAATTGAAAGCATTTTTGTACACCAACAATGAAATATCAGAAACAGAAATCAGGGGGAAAAATCCCATTTACTATAGCAACAAGAATTACAAAGTACCCAGGAATACACATAACCAAGGAGGTAAAAAACCTGTACTCAGAAAACT